TACCACGAACCTTTAACGGCCTCATTCAACAGCTATACGACGACGCTACATGCCGAGCGATCAAAAATGGAAAGCTGATTGACGCCTTTGAAGTGAAGACAAGAGCAAGACAAAGTTGCCACTTACTATCACCGGCGATCTTCTTAATTGTGGTCGACTGGACTGGATCACGCAGCAGACAACTGTGAGGAGCAAGAAGATGGGCATACACTGACTGAACCGATGAAAAGACCCTAGAAGATTTGGAGTTCGCCGATGATGATCTTTGTCTAATGTCTTGTCGCAAAAATTCGAAGATCTACAGGCAAAGACCAACAAGTTGATAGGAGAGGCAAAGAGGACAGGATTTCAAGTGAATGTAGAGGAGACAGAGGTGATGAAGATGCCCAGCCAACAACAAGCACCATCGATTATCAACGGCAGAAACCTAAAGAAAGTAGTTCTTTTCCGCCTACTTAGATGCCGTCGTTTCAACTACAGGCGGCGCAGGCATAGATGAGGATGTCAGAGCCAGGATGGAAAAGACAACAAGACAGGCCTCCACTAACCTGGAATCAGTGTGGAGATCTACTGCACTGCACTCAGCATACGGTGTGAAAAAGATCCGGGTTTTCAACACTAATTCAGTCAAGCCAGTGCTTCCGTATGATGGTTGAGAGGCTTGGCGGCTCGTCATGAAAGGCAAGCCCAACAAACTGAAGACACTCATCAACAGCTGCTGCCTACGCCAGCTAGGTGCTGAAGCTGAGGTGGCCAGAACGGATAAGTAACAAGAAACTCTGGCTGGCGATGAACCAACCACGAACCCACCTCCCAACAAAGATCCAGAAGAAGAAAATGCAGATGGATTGGTTTGGGCACACACTGAGAACACCATTTGGAAACATCACGCACTAGGCCAGACCGTCGAGTGGAACCCGTGTGGGAAACGACGAGTTGGGCGTCCGAGAGTGATATGGAGATCGTGTGAGGAATAAATGAAAGCTTATGGGCAGCCGTGGAGCCAGGTTAAAAAGACTGCAGAGAAAATAGTGAGATGGCGACGTGCTACTGAAGCCCTATCTTCCACTGGGAACCCAAAGGGCCAACAAAGTAAATTAGGCTCTCCAGGAAGAATGTTGTCTGCTCATGCAACCTTGCGATTATCCCAAATCACTATAATTCAGGGAGGAAAGGATGGCGATGCACTTTATCAAAGGCTTTAGTAAGATTGAAGTAAGCGGAAACATCTTCTACCCCTTCGCCTTCACCGCTACTTGCCTGATCAAATAATTTGAAGTGGCGGACGATCCAAGATATTTCAAAAGTATGTTCGCGGTGCTAGTAGCGCCTGGGTGTGTGTTTAGAATGGTGAGGAAAAACTTCATTTTTAGAACCTGCATATTTGATGAACGTACAGAGTTTATGTTGATTAAAGGGTAATTTTCAGCTCCAAGTCCAAAAACCTTCCTGAAGTGGTGGATAACATGACTCATTTTCGGCGATTTTGGGGGGGGCCGTCATTTAAGGATAGACTGAAGATTTTGGTAGGCAGTATAGAGAAATCTGTGCCGTCTTTTAATTCGAGATGCCAGGCATGTGGTTCACTCCTCTTTTGATAAAGGATTTCTACCGCTCTGTCACAACACATGCATTATTTTGTGCAAATTCGACTTCCCTGATTTTGCATACTTGTTTCGTTGAGGCCATCCGCATTCTGAAAACAGTTAGCTTTAGCGGAGGTTAGCGATTCAGGCAAAAAGAGAAAGGAAAGAGGAAGATAAAATATGGCACCCTGGGGCTCACCGGCTCTACCAAGCGATGAAGTAGGAAGCTTCCCTCCGCAAAGAGTTTGCATTCTTCCCTTAAAAAACAAGAATCAAGCCAGTTCACAATCCAGAACTCAGCGTGAGTTCTGGTTAGCTTGTCTAATAAGAAGGAGTCCATGAACAGAGTCAAAGGCAGAAGTGTGATCTAGGGAGGCACATCTAACATACTTACCATCTTTGTCTAGACTGGAGATGATGTTACGCGCTTCTGTATTTGTAGACATACTGATTTGGACCTCTGAAAGCCCCTAAAGAAGGTTCACGCACAGGAAGCAACAGTTTTTCCATTGCTTTTAGGAATGGTGGGGTTATTACGATCAGTCGGAGTTCCGCGTTTTCTCAAGAAGATATGGACTTAGGTGCCGGGGCTATTTTAATTTCCCCTAAGGTGGTTGATGCAGCATTTCTGACAAAAGGCTCATTTAAAACGCTTATTAGTGGATGGCATAGAACATCAAATCTCGTAAAATGAATACCCGGCATCTCGTCTGAGGCTCTGTGAATGTTTTAATGAGTTTGGGCACTTGAACAAATCTGCTTCACTGAACTTCCGAAAAATTCCTTCTCTTATGTACGAAGAACTGGACAAGATAACAGTTTGAGGTTTGTTTACGATTGACTAGTTTAGTACATAAGGGTTTTCACGAGCCTAATTTCTGAGTTTCCTCTTGGTGGCTGGATCATGAAAAAGTCTCCTTTAACTGGGAGTTTTTCTATGTGGTATAATTCTCTGGTTTTGCATTAAGTTTAAGCGTTTTATTTGTTTTTACCTTCCGCTTCACAGTCTTCCAATTGCGGGGAAGCCTTATCAAACACTAAAATATTATTTCGGCTTGACAACGAATATCAAAGGAAATTTAAGGTGGCATGTAGCAGCACTACTGGTGTCGTCCAGAGCATTACTATCAAACATTTCCCATCCGGTTTTCTGTAACGTGAATCTGAGTTCATGCATGTCGCCGTATGTAAAGTTCTTGTGCAAAGTCCTCTTGGATTGGTATGTCAAAGTATTTTTCTCCAGCGTGTCACACATTTTCGGCAGAACATGTGTAATACAGTAATTACAGCCCGGTGGTGGCGCGCTTTCCCGAGTTTCATATGTACCAGGTTCATTAACGAAGACCGAGTGTAACTGGGCATCAAAACGAGTTGAAAAGCTGACTTAGTTACTGTGGCTAGCAGACCGTAGGGAGCTGCGGTCACGAGAGTTAAAATCGCCGCAGACAAACAATAAACCGAACATTATGGGAGCGGCGGATTCGCAGCGAACCTGGATGATTCAAGGTACCTGAAACCAGGAACGACGTAAACATTAGTGGCATAAATTAATTCAAACTCATCTAAATGTTTGGAACCACATGTTGCACGGACGAAGTCCATACTTTCATTGAAATAGAGGAAATACGTGTGATTTGCTGAACACCACTGAGTACTGACAAAGATAGCCACAGCCCGGACACACTCTATCGCACAACTGCAACAATCCTGGCCAAACAGTTTGAAACCATTTAGGGAAACTAAGCTGCGATAATGCAGGTTGTGCAACCAAGTTTCTTGTAATGTTACTACACCTGCGGCACAATGAGAACTAACATATAGGAGGCATCGTATATAGTCTACCTTGCCTAGTAGGGATGTGCAGTTCAAGCTGAGTGTTTCGACTAGTGTCACTTGATGTGGTGTTGTTCGGTTTCAGGATTACTGTGCAAAACCACAAATTCGACCTTGAATTCATGAAAGGTGATCAGTTTTTCGAAGGCCGGGAACTGGAAAGAATAAGTACATGTCTTCCTCCACACAGAGGTCAGCCGAGTCGTTATATATGGAGAACGAGGTTCATAACGTTGTCACCAGCGGCAATACGCACAATGTAGGAAACCTAATGATTCGGAGCAGGTCAAAATTAGTAATCCTGTGTGTTGCAGGGACACCAGAAGTTGCTGTTATCTTCGCAAAGTTTTGGGAGAACGGAGAAGTATGGGTGAATGAACCAAGTTAGTTTAGTCCCGCAGTAGCAGGCATTACTGTACTGGCGACAAGGTGAAGTTATTGGTGCTAACTTCAACCACAATATAGACGGGGGAAGGAAGTTTCATTTTATGTATACCAATGTTTATTTTGTACATACTCTTTTTTCAGTTGGCAGTGACTTATAACTTTGGTGACAGACGATCTACTTTGTCGAAGTGGACAGGAAAGATGTAGTGTGGATTTAAAGGCAGCTTAAGTTTATGATGCAAGATGTTTCTTTAGCATAATGGTTTGTGACAGACAGTACCAACCCCGAAATTTTGGCAGTCCATATTACTCACTTAAATGAGCGTTACTTGAGTGCTTCTTGTTAGAAGAGCAGTCACCATGACGGTGAGATGAAATGCCTTGCCTCAGAGGTACAGATATAAAAAAGCAAAATCAACGTAGAAACCCACATCTCTTCAAGTTGCCACACCTCAAAATATTATATGAACAACAAGCGAGTAGGAAGGGGCCAATGTGAAAATAGACAAAGTTGTATTGGAGAATAAACAGTTTGAAGGTAATGGTTAACGCAAATACTAAGACTCTAGGAGATGTCAAAAAGTGAATACATCCGTACTACTATCACTGAATTTCAACCGTGTCACCAACAGTCCTCAACAACTGACTTCTATCATCTCGTAGACACCACCCACGCAGTCAACATCTCCACACACGGCCCAGACCGAGAGTCGGAAACTCTATCCGCTAGCCACACTGAACTCCCTTTCAACCCACTGCAGCCTCTTGTACTATGACGTCTCAAGGTAGGCAGTCCATTGGCATATGCAGCACAGGCGCGTGCCATCTTAGTCGATGAAGTTTCACAAACTTATCTATCTTGTCTAGTATCCTTCTTCTGACTGTAACATTTCCTACGCAGTCATACCATCAAATGTGAGTAATGCTACAAAGACAACTGTGATCAAAAATCACTAACTGGTTCTTGCCACAACACGAAATCTTAGATGCATAATCCCGTCATATAAAGTTACCTTGATCGAATTAAAAAGACGAATAACATAGAGACGTAAGACTGTTTTGTGATGATCTTTAAGACCTAGTCAATATCTACGCCAAATAAACATCACGCTATCGGTGTAATAGGATTAACATGGTGCAACTGATCAATTATGCGTATTACTGAATACTGAATACAACCATTCTACCGCCCCTAAAGAAGGTAGCGTTACAACAGTGGTTTGCAACACTTTTAAAGCCTTACTTTTCCGCGTCCTAGTTTCCACTTGCGGATTGCTCTGTCTTCTCGTTATAAATTATTATGCCTTTGAATGACTTTTATGACTAAATGCAGTTATGTTCTTTGTGCTTTCTGAGTCACTGAATTGGCTCACGTTCTCTAGAGAACGTGGGAATAAGCTTATCCCGTCTAGATTTTCTCCTCTGCACACTACTGTACTATCTTTTTTCTACCATCTCGAAAGAAACCTACCAACAGCTGGTTGTTGCAACTGGATTAGCAGTACTATAGTAATACGAGAGAAGTTATATTTATTAGAGGAATGCATCAGTTTACTGTGATTTTATTAGTATCTATTAATGTTGATTCCCACCTAACATCATTTCTGGTTTCATTTGAGTTAATTTCTACTTCACCATAATCCAGGGTCTTTCCTATGGTGACCACTCAGTGTCAGCCTACGGCTAACATAAGGTTTTGAAACAACTAGCTGATGTTAAACCCAACGTTAAGCATGTATTGGCTCAATTCTAACCCAACATATACATCTGTTGGTTCAAGATTTCTCCCACGACCAATGCTCATTACGTTCACGTTAAGCCAACTGCCTAAGGTATACTAGAAACCCTCTTCCCAAAAGCGTATGACCAGTTGTAAAATTTTTTTGAACTTACTAATATCCCCATACTTCATGTAAGTTGTAAGTAAAGACTTCTGTAAAAGTAGAGAACATTTGAAAACCCTTTTATGTACACTAGTAACTGTTCTCATCCTATGTCTCACCGTCCTGTTCTGTCGATCTTCCTGATGTACCATCCTTCTTCCGCACAGTACAGGTCATCGGTTGGCTGACGGCAGTCTAATATGTACGAGGAGTTTAGCAAAGAAAAGCTAACCCTGAGGATTTCCCAATTTTTATGGCAGCCTTCCTGATGACCACGCAGGTTGTAAAACCGGACCTCATATTGTCCCCAGTGTGTTTCAAAGTGATTTATCAATAAGTTGTTCACTCTCCGGGAGTTTTCAATAGCTCTTATTAAAGTTGGTTGGTCACTTTCGGAGTTTAGTTTTATTTCAGATTCAGTTTAAGTTACAAGTCTGCTGTTTATCCTTTTTTGTAACCCAGAACAACTGAGTGACGTATTCGAAATCTAACGGTATTCTCATAGTGTTCTGTACTGACTGCTTTATTTGGTCACATATCTCATAGTAAATCCCATAGTACCTAGAAAACTTCAAATAACTGTAATTACAAATTTTTGTGCGAAATTCCCCCTTTTTTAACCTCGACGAAAACTATTTGCATATAGCTGCAATTCCTCGAATTCTTTCTCTGTCATTTTTAAAAATATCAATCAACATCCCTAAGATACTTAACTTTTTGTTTCAATATTACTGTCGACCATATCAAGTTCTTGGTGACGTGCTACTGAGACCCTACTTGGTGAAGACGTTGACAAAATGCAGACTATTCTGAACGCGTTGAACAGAAATCTGAGTTTGCTTGGCCCGCATTTTGCATCTACCAAGTGTAAGATGATGCACCAGGACTGATCTATAACTGTTTCTAGTTTAACGATAACGAGTGAAATGGTGGAGTGTCGACCACTTCACTTGCTTGGACAGTTGCATCATCCAGAATAGGCTAGTAGCTGACAAAATCTCAACTCGGGTGCAGAAGGCGCGTCTGGCATTTGTCAACTTAGATCATCTCTGGCACCAATTGGTGAGATATCCGACTATCTATAAAAGGATGGGTATGCTGCGCTGCAGTCCGTTCTGTCGTATTATGTGGTTGTGAGACATGGCTGTTGAAAGTAGAAGGCATGAAGCGGTTCCAGGATTTTGACCGCAGGTGTGTTCTCTGCACTGCTCACGTTTGATAGAATCACCGTATGGGCAGTATTGAGGTCAGTTGGTGACTTGGGAAGAAAAGCAAGTAGGTTGTCTAGGTTGTAAACCTTCATCCACTGAGATGGCTTGGGCATATGTTTCTCATACCGACCCACCACCTACCTTCACGTGCCAGATTAGTGGGAGTTGGAATAAGTTTGAAGAGTTCAGCATCGGGAAACCGAGAAGTAGCACTAGTAGATGCAATCTCTTACTGTTGATCTGAGTCGTGTAGGGAGGTTTAGATGAACTGAATGGGCTCCCCAAGACCTCAGGAATCAGTGGTTAATATGGTGATATGGCTGAAAATCGGTGACAACGGTGCAGATGTATTCGCTCCTGTAAAGTTTAAATATTCATACTAACCGTTATCTTCAGATTGTTTATTCTCTTACACTACTTTGTCTATTTTAATATCATTCTTTTTCTGTCCACCTGTTCTTTGCGTACTACTGTAAAGTGTGGTATCTTGAAGCGATGCACTTCTATGATAGGTTTCTACGTTGGTTCTGTCTGTATGTCAGTTGCGTATGAATTAGGTCGGAGTCGTCGAAGGGACAAGACGTTAGTGTTTTACCATGTATACGTGATTTTCAAAGAAAGTCCCATTCTTTTAGCCTTAGCGGAATGCGGAAAACAATGGAATGCAGACACTGTCCTTTTATTTAAGATCTGTTGTCCCATGAATCTTTCAGGATTACTGATCAACACTCTATCTACCTCATTAACTGTCTAAGTGACACCAGGTTTTTCAATGTTTGTGTCTCATGAGTAAAATTGTGTTGTTCTCTGCGTGCGACAATTACCCGGCTCCTACTACTATTTCATTTGTGCATTAGAACGACAACCTCGTAGTTCTTGTGTTAACGAACTGGTCAGTGACATTCTAGTGGGTAGTAAAGTGAGGATATGGCTCTTTGTTTTAGGCAGTTGACTTTCTACCAATGGGTTACGGGCTCTAAAACTGCTCCACCACCAAAGTTTTGACAGACAATCAGTATCACTAACCCTCACACAATAGATGTAGCTCATTACCTACTGCATAAATATGGACAAGATTAGTGAGTGCATTTCGTTTCTTTCTCCGGATAGAAAACATTAAATGGAAGTAATAGGATCAGTTGTAATCCATCCAAGTATTCTCATCACATATTCTAATTACTGGTATCAGTTGTATGCGGTTGTTTCTAAAAGCTGGCTCTTTTACAATCATTTATCTTGTATGACTATTATTCTTTTGTCTGAAACTTGGAATCCACTTATTTGCGGACAAGAATGTTTTGAATGTGTTTATTTTGAGTTTCATGTGCCGTTTTCCTATTTTTTTTAAATATAGAAACTCCAATGCCTAATTTTCATTGTAGGTATTATCATGAGCTGTAATACACAAAGTCATTCAAGTGAAACGGAGAAAACTCTTCAGGAAGCAAATAAAAAAGATAAAATGCAAAAAGCTCTAAGTGAAAACTTTGACAAGTCAATTGTATTATGGAGTCCAGATGATATTAGCAGCATGATTTTAAGTGAAGGCTTCAATTTACACAGAATGCCAAAAAATTATCTCACTCGAAAGTCTTATATTGAAAAGCTTATTTTCCATGCCACAATGTCTGATTCACTGAAATCACCTTTTGCTGGGTTTGTTTGTTCTATTTATTTGTGACATAGATGATTAGCTTTAAAATAGCCAGTAACTATCTAGAAGAACTAGATAATATTGATGTAATCAGTGGAATCAAGGTATTTTAGTTGGCTTTAATGCTTAATGATCGTTTTGTTTTTCTTAGACATTTAAGTCATTTATTCGGTCTTTCTTCAAAAACAACAGTCGCACATCAACAATAATTCACAGAATTGGCGGCACATGGCTGCTGGATGAATTCGACATAGATTCTTTTTTGTTAACTGGTGGAGAGTGTGTATGCGTATATTAGTTTCGCCTAAATTTTTGCTGTTTTTGTAGCGCGAGTGGCTATGGCTTCGTGAATTCCTGAAAAAGAAGATTACCGTTTGTGTTCTGAATCACTTTCGCGGAGTGTTTTGATTTCACATGATCTTGAGTCGAAATTTCTCTATCATACGTAAGTGTTTGACTTTATTTCTTCACTAATGTTTATTTTCAATCGTTAGAGTTTTCCAGTCACCTGAACTTGGGCTACGGAAACTTCGAATATCACAACCAAAAAGTTTACCTCCACCAAGTGACCACAATCATAGTGCGAATGAAGTTACTCAAGAAGTCGTACGCACTAGCATTGGTCTGAGTTCAGAAGTGGATGGATATTCATATATAATCGATTACATACCATCAGATGGTGTAACTAAGACCGCGAATGCAGATCAAAACAATGAAAGCCAACCGTTTCGGTCATCATGGGTCACAAATCCAGATATGTATTTGCATACTGCTGAATGGCAGTTAAAGGATCTGAGTTTTCTTGTAGGCAGTGATATGCCAATATTTGGCACACCCAAACACCCCTGTATTAGTCTGAAGCTAAGTCCACTACATGAGTCTATAAATGTTCTGACAGGCATAGATGTATGGCTAGAAAATATTATCAATGAAGTTCCTGAAGTTGCCATGTGCTATCACCATGAAGGTATCGTAATGCAAGAATATGAAATTTATAAAACATGCGAAATTCCATCTATCATTGGATTTGAAACAGAGCAAATCAATCGGATAATACGGAATTTAATCATGTTTTTGAAGCGAAATGCAACTCAAGAAGGTCATACATACTGGTTAGTGAAGGAACCTGGCCTTGGTGTTGTTAAGCTCTATGATCTTACAACTCTCGGCTACAAAGAATTTATAAACAAGTGTTCAGATGATCCTAACATTCGTGAAGCTTACACGAAAGGTTAGGTTTTTGGAATGCATCATAATATTTTCATATTTATAATAATGTCAAGGTACTCATTTTTGTGTCGTAGTATCTAGCACTAAATTGTCGTTTTAGTACTTCCTATGTTTATTACTCGTTTAGCATAAAGAGCCGTTGTTAAATCATGCTAGTTCTTGATTATTAACATCGTCTTGCTCTTGTTATCGTCTTGAGTGTCCATTGAGATTTTCAGGGGTGAGTTTACTCACTTCATGTATACTCATTTTTTAACAACTTACTACATTCCATCACTTTCATGTTGACGGATACAACTGATTTCCTCTTCGAAAAATATGTGGAAATGGTTCTGGCCATAGTCTGGAAAATCAGGTGGCTGCCAAAGACTCATAGCATGCACCTCTAACCCTACCGATATTTGCTTTCATCACTTCATCGTCGACGATACTGTAGACGTTTACAGGTAATTGTGTATCCGATTTACAGGGAATCGACCTATCCACGGTTTCTCTGTGCAACTCAGGCTACCCAGTTGACACATTAATTTAAGAAGAAGTGGCAGACAAAATTCAGTCTTTGCAACACCTTGTAACTAAATCTGTGGCTGTATGGCATGCATTTTGCTTCTGTAAAATTTGAGGTACGTCAGAACTGGTCCTGATCAACAATGGAGATACGGCTTACTGGTCTAGGTAATCAACTCTCAACTAGTGGGTCACGGAGTCAAACAATGCTTCACACATTAAGGTTTAGGTCATCAACCCTCATTCAATAGGCGTAACTCATAACCCAGTGTACAGGATCCATGTCGTTGCTGAATTACAATAGTTTACTGCGCATCAGTACCTGTTTTTAGAAAAAACAGCTAAGTGACTTATTTCACTAGTTACTTTGCTTGGAGGAATCTCTAAACCGTGATTATTTGGTGGTTCGCAAAGTTTCGGTGCTGGGTATGCAAAATACTCGATTAGTATTTCCCAACCTTTACTCTTTGATGTCACAAAATACCCGAATTTCTATTTACGGATGATTATTCTTTGTTGTATTCATCTCTGTACTGCTATATTGCAACTCGACACAACAGTTACAAGTAAACGAACCAAGAAGGCTCTAGGGCCACATTTATGTAAATCTTGGGATTTCTACAAGAAGGAAAAGTTGATTAACAAAGCTATAAACCGTGCATTAAATAAAGAGATTAAAAGCGTCTGATGCATGTGTATACAAAACCACTACGCACCATGACTTGTATTATTTGTTGTAGCAGCGATAACATGGTAATGGGAGTTAGTTATGTCTAGAATAGGGTGAAGAAACACCTGAGGTTTGTGTATTTTTGGTAGGCCATTCACCCGTGGAATCGTGTTGTCTATAGGCTTCAAATTTCCAAATAAGGTTGATGAAATGTATCCATCACTTTTCGGTTTCTTCAGTGAGACGATTAGGTCTTTGTTTGCTATTTCGGTTAGGTCTTTTGCTGACTTTAGTTTCTGAAATTTGCATTCGTCTTGGAATATTATGTCCATTTTCTGTACATCATCAACTCTGTCCATTATTACGACTCCAGCTCCGTTATTCCAGTATTATACTGGACAAATTGCAAATGGAAGTTCCTTTCCATTGGAATCAAATTTCGCGACAGTCGCAAGTAAATTAACGAAATCGATATAGATGTACAATTTGAGAATGTATTCACACAAACAACCAATCTGGTTGCATCATCTAGTGCACAGTTGGAAAAATTTAACTCAACTCTATTGGACTGCTTCTATCAATAAAAACAATAAAAATACATCAATAGGTATATTAACTAGGAAGCATCGCAAGGCTCTTGAAAGACTCAGAAACGATCAGCACATCATCACAAGGTCTAATAAAGGAATTGGAGACGTAATAATGGACAGAGTTGATGATGTACAGAAAATGGACATAATATTCCAAGACGAATGCAAATTTCAGAAACTAAAGTCAGCAAAAGACCTAACCGAAATAGCAAACAAAGACCTAATCGTCTCACTGAAGAAACCGAAAAGTGATGGATACATTTCATCAACCTTATTTGGAAATTTGAAGCCTATAGACAACACGATTCCACGGGTGAATGGCCTACCAAAAATACACAAACCTCAGGTGTTTCTTCACCCTATTCTAGACATAACTAACTCCCATTACCATGCTATCGCTGAATGGCTAGTACGATTACTTCAACCAGTTTGCAAAGTATAGCGTCAAAGACACCTAGTTCGCAGACAAAAATAATTGATTGTTTTAAACAAACGCATGGGATCCCTATATGGCACATCTTTATTTACTAACGTTCCTTTAATGGAAACCGTGGATTATATTTGTGAACAACTATTGGAATGGAAATTGGGCACTGGCATTCCTTTTATGAATCCGAAGACGAATGCATTTTATAATTGTAGAACCTGACAAGGATTTATTGAAAAGAATATTTTTCTTTCAGATTGTTGCTTTTTATCAATGTTATGAGAATCTTTAGTTGTTTGGAATCTCTCAACTTTTCCAGAAAATTGCATTTTGTCATCGTCGTCATCTAGCATGACTGTTTCACATGTTTTTTTTAAAATCAACGTAGAAATCTTATGTGAGGAGACTTAACCCTAACATCTCAAGGACTCCAGACACCATTTTGCACGAGTCAAACTAGCAATTCGTGCCTTGTTTTGGCATCACATGTTGGTTTGATGGTATGTAGTCTTTGTTGAAACCATACTATACATCTCAGTGTATATGGCAAAATGACACAACTAACAGGTATTTTTATTCAGTTGGTAGCACTTACTTTATTTACAAAATGAAGCAGTATTGAGACAAACGTATAGATACATGTAGTCACAATATCCTAGTAGTCGTTCAGATATGTTGATGGATTATTATAAATAATCACCATTCGTAGTGAAAAATAAAGCTATTAGATGATTAAGGGAATAAAGATCAAGATGTACCGGCTTCGGTGAAACTATCAGCCCTTTAGGGATGAATAATTTTTTAACTTCACTAGCGTACTACCGAGTAAGATGAGACATTCATTCCCGTTACTTCCCCTAGTTATAGCCAAAATATCGATAGATAACATTAACTCACAGATATATTCACGCCTTGACATCTAAATCTTAAATATTCGCACTAACCTTTATCTTCAGATTGCTTACTCTCTCACGTGAATATCAAGCCATACACCCAAAAGGCCTAATTGAGACTGTTCTTAGTATCTGTTCCTCTCTTTTTCTTTCAGATAATAATCCGTTTATCTTACCTGTCGCAACACTATGCTATAAGTTAGCCGAAAGACGTGTCAAAGAGTATACACTGTATCGTGAAACACAAATTATTGAATCGACCTCTGCAGCATTTACTACAACCACACCACTACCTTCATATTCATCTGAAAGTGACTGCTGTGAAGTGAATACTGTTATAGATGCGTTACGTTTACTAAAAAACTGTTTAAATCTAATATCAGTGCATGAAAACTTGTCATATTTGTCGGATATGTCAAATTTATCATTTACCCCATCTTCAACTCAACATGCATCTGGAATAAATGATTTAAAATTTCGTGCAGTAGTTTTGTTGTGTCGATTGTATTCAATCACGCCTACAAATGTCATCATGACATGTTTCAAGAACTTACAAGGATTAATCTGTTCAAGTCGTGAGGTAAGTTTACATGTCAGTGCAAATATTTTGTTACTTATGTTAAAGAGATACATCTGTTGAGTGGATATTGAACTTTATTGAGATATAGTGTTGTCTAAAAACTTGTTACAAACTCATAACGAATTGCAATTAAAAAACAAAAAGCACTAAGCATTACTGTATTACCCACAAAAGTGAATGAAGATGACCATGTACAATTTTGCCAAGTATCTACTTAATTTGCTCACTAACATACGTGCTCACAATCGAGGTTTATGTAGGGTAACAAGTTCTCCAGAAAGCCAAATGATATTCGAGTTTCATATCGATTTGTAGCTTGTACAAAGGTCCGTATTAGTTAAACGTTAAGATTTGTTACTGGTTTTATCTCTTGAAATCTGTTCGTCCTAGTAGATGGCTTGTGCAAAACACTAGTCATCATCATCATTATCAACATAGGATGATGATGATGATGATGATGATGACTAGTGTACCTTCACTAGGTTTTCAGCTAATTAAGTCACGTCAAAACTGTTATGTAAGAAGAAGCTTCTTTGATGTAATACCAGCATCTCGTAATAACTCAACCATGATGCAATGTATCACCTTCCCATCATTCTTACATCGAGGTAAATAATAAGTTTGAGGTAATACATATTTGGAGTCAGTTAACAGAAAGTGCAGGACCTTAGGTTTCATGTTTTTTGCACTTATCAGCAGCGTATATCTGCTTATAACAACTTATTAGTAAGGTATTTGACTGACATATTGTGAGTGATACCTGTTTTAATCTTTGAAGAGACATGTTTTCTTGCGAATGCGCAGACACCCTGTTAATAACCGCTAACAAACATGAAACCTGGGCCTGTGGCTTCCTGTTGGTTAACTTTTAGCGTGGAACACTGAAACAAGGAGTATGTTAGTAACTTTATGCCAAATTTCGTGATCGACTAGCCTACTTGATTAACTGAACATCGCGTAAGCACTGTTGAGATTAGTTGTCGTGTACTAGGCGAGGAAGATAAGTAAATTGATTAGTTTGTGAACACTCGACTTCTACATTGATGACACAGTGACACTACGACATACGGTCTACGATGCGAAGGCAGCGGTGCTCAAACACCTGAAACCTTATTTTCTCTACCTTTAATGGGCGTGTTTAGCATTCATTAGTGGAATAGAGTGAAGTATATTGTACTCAAACCTTACTAGACAACCGGATTTCACAGCAGTGCCATAAATGGTGTAAGTTGGTGAAAACTATGCTGGCCTTTTGTATCCATGTGGAAATTTCGTCGGCCGCTAACCAACCAGGGTTGATCTCACTTCCCAGATATGTGAATTAGTCAAAGCGCTGAACTATTTCACTCTCTTCTGTTAGACAGAACACAGACCAATCCTGGGGCGACAATTTGCATTTGGGTGATGAGAAACGCATCCCAACCATTCTCAAATCGCCACTCAAGTTGTCCAGGAAGCTACATTTTGTCACCCTTCACCTAACAGGACTGTGTCATCGTATTCTACATCTCCCAATAGTTCTCCTATGATCATATTAATCCCTGTGAATTCAGACGACAAGTAGATCTCCATAGGAACGTGTGTGATAAAATTGAATAGGAATAGAGACAGTGTGCACCCTTGATGGACACCATTCGATGTACACAGATTACCTGACAACTCACCGTTAGCTCACAACTGTTCGAGTAAAGAGTAAAGAATGATCTTACTTGGTATCCCTTCCAGTGAGATACTGCCATAAGACGTTTCTATCGATGGAGTCAAGTGCCGCATTCAGGTTGAGAAATACAGCCAGTTTTGGGCATCTGTAAGTGTCTCTGTGTTCCAGAGCCTGGCCTAGTGTGAATATCTAGTCGGTACACCCACTGCCAGGTCTGAAACCTACCCGTTTTTCTGGGGCTTTCTGCTCCCGAACTCAACCCAGTTGCCTAACGATTATAGGATCTACATTATTAGACACTATGTCAGACTGATTCCTCTTGGGTTATCAAATGAGGATTTTCCCCCTTTCTTGAAGACTGGGACAATCAGTGATTGAGATCAATCAATGGAAATCATATCTGACCCGCACACACTAGTTAACCCAACTAAAATACCTTGACCACCATCCTTAAATACCTCTGGGGCTGATCCGTCTGGTCCTGGTGTTTCTGCTCGTCTCACGTTACCTGCAGCTTTCTTGACTTCTGAGTTTGTTAGGGATCTTGTCTCCATATGGCATTCAGGATCCGACCGGATATCGTGCAACGGAACAGTGAGTGAAGGGCAGTTGGACTATTCCTCGAAGTATTTTATCCATCTCTCCCCGCAGGAGTGGATCACAGACTCATTCTTTTCCTCTTTGGTTTCATTAATCACTGACCTTTTTGCTTCAGTTTCCTTCATAAGTCTAAATAACTGTCTACTTTTATTTACCGCTGCTGTTTTTCCCGTCTCTTTTTGGACTTCGCTGCCCACCGTTCCTCGTCATCATTGCGTAGACTGTTTATTAGTCTGTGTTTGAGTTGCTTTCGCTCCTCAGTGTACTCGGAGCCTGCAAGGGGGCTTTCGCGGGCATCCACTAATTCAAAAGTTATCAGAGTGTACTGTTTGGGGCCCGACCTTTTCTAACTCTGTCCTCCCGACAGGGAAGGCATCATGAGTGTGACATTGCAGGTCACCCAAGGGAAACACCTCACTGCTGTCATACCCCCTTCGTCAGCGGTACGACTTCTCCTTCAGGCCCCCATCATAGCGTAGCAACTTACACTACAATTGTTACTGCTTTTTGTCTAATGACTATCCAACAAACCTGTCTGGTATGTTAGGAGCTCGAGGGAACAAGGGTTTCACCAACATATCTCGTTGGATCACCGTAGTATCCAAGCCCGAATACCACTTCAATGTAGCATAAAGAATTAGGACGAATGCTCCTAGAAGTAGATGAGCATGGAATAGTTTAGAAACGCTAACTATTAAGCCTTATGACAGTTTTAAACCACTGATTGGGTATATGCTCTGGCTGTGACTTTTTTACGTCACCCGGTGAAAGATGTATAGAGTCTATGTTCAGTTATCGGACATATCAGACACATCTAGTAGTAAATAGCAGTTACCTCTCATAAATACAGCTTAAAGCTGGTTGCATGCTTTTCAGCTGTATATATGCGGTCTATATATTCAGTGAAATTTTAAATCAGGTTTTCTTCACTTCTCAACCTGCTCACCGATAATGCTTAGGTTTCCAGAGGAGAACTATCATGAAACTCTGAAGAACAACACACTTTTTCTCCGAGACTGCATCACAATATTGTTTCTAGTCTAGACAAAAGTGCTATGTTCGATGTGCCTTCTTGCATTACAAATCAGCCATTGACCCTATTCCTAGACCACTCTTGTTAATTAAGCTTTCCATTGCTCATACTTAGCTATGGGTTAAAAAGTGGCTGCAGTTCCTGATAAGTGGGGAAATAACGACAACCAGGTCTTAAAGGTTGTGACTGTATGTTCTTAATTATCTAACCTTATGAAGTGTCAAAACTGATGCTGAATTGCTATCGTATCTTCATATCTCTAGTTATACTTTATTTCGCTTGTGATGTACTTCACTTTTCTGAAATATTTGTAGACTGTAAGTGTAGATATTGAACAGTTTGGGAGATCTCTGGATCCATCTGAATTGAACACATTCACTCTCTCTGACGACGCTGGGGAAAACGCGTCATCACTGGTAGCAATAAATCCCAATCGGAATTACTTGGGTTCAATGATTATAGATGCGTTCAGAAAGTCAAATACATCCCAGCTTTCTCAACTTGCTATATCAGTAAGTGTAGTAAATGTTTTGCTCTAACTTTCAAAAGTGTTGTACTTTATTTTTTCGAATATGATAACTCCATTGTTCTAGTGTATTATGTGTGCCTCCATTTCACTAATTTATGTAGATCAGTAAGCTGTGTCATCACTAAATCAAGAAACAACAATGCAACATAAGTTGTTTGGTTAGGTTTACTCGTGGAGACCTTGTTCATTCAGTTGGTCTTCTAAAACTTGAGTATTTTTACCCACCTTAATTTTTAAATTCCATCTCATCCCATACACCTTTGTATACTACTATGAAGTATGGCAACTTGAACCGATGCATTTGTATACAAGGTTCTACGTTGATTTTGTCTGTTTTTATACCTGTTATCCTCGCCTAAATGTCTAATCAGGACAGCTCAACCCAGAAAACTATGTGAAGTCGTTATGATGTGGAGTTGGGAGAGCGAACGGAAATATTTAACGATTGGTAGTCGAGGGTTGAGACGGATCCAACCCGAGTGATTTGCAAAGAGAGATCAAAAGACTAGAAACCAGATGAGTTTATAGTATCTTGGACTGAAGCATTTATGAATGAAAACTGACCCTATTTATAGAGTTTACAATAACCTTGAAAGACAAGGAATCATTAGTGCATTTAAAGAGGCAGAAACCAATCAGCACAATAACGGATCATACGAAATATAACCCATGCACGGGAAAAGAGCACGAATGAACAGTTCAAATATATGCATGTATGTATGTATGGAATATAAGGGATATCGATATCCTTAAGAGAAGTGCTAAAAATATTAGTAGCCACTCCCACTGGACAGATTTAAGAATGACTTTAATGGCCATCGTAACAATGGGGGACTAACCAATCAGATTTCAATATTTGGTCGGAAAGATAGTTTTTCATAAAATAGAGAAATTTAATTGGCCATCCTAGCAGTTACTAAAGTGTCCTTTATAGTCACTCAAATTTCAATTTGAGAATACTTATTGTTTGATATCCTACGTATTTTAACATTTTGATGACAAATTATCTCATCACAAAGTCATATTAGCTTACTTGTTAGATTTAGAGTAACCTGAATCCTTAATTAGATGTCAGCGATTGAGTGTCATTAGTTAGAAGATACCGAAAAATCCTTATCAGTGCATAGAAAGTCCCCCCATAATAAGCTAACTAACATTTGATGAAATGATGACGTAATGTTGTTTTATAGTAAGGTCTCTATCGTCCTAATTTTATTCTCTCTACTGCATCAACACTGCTCAAACAATTCCATATCAATTTTTAGGTCGAGATTCATCATGGACTGACATCAGTTGGAGAAACATCGGAAACCTGGCAGCACTGGATAGCTGTTTCGTCTTAGTATGGGACTCACTCCTCAGCAGTACGCATCCATGACTCCACTTCACCACGGACCGAACCCAGGACTTTCAGGTCCCATGGCTAGCACGTTACCATTGAACCACTGGGTCGGAATGCAGTGGTCCACATCTCCTTCTTCTGTCAGGTCACAATATAGCGTGACCTGCATCCAATGTCATCGTTGAGTAACTGTCCTCATGTTCGATTTGATTGACTCCACTGGTCACGACTTCTCATTGGAACTTCGGGAATCCCCTCTAGAAGCTAGTCACCAATGAGCGCTAGATTAATTCTATCTACAGGTTTGTGGAGATTTATTAATTGATCTTTTAGGTTGGAATTCATCATGGACTGACACCAGTTGGAGGAACATTGGAAACCTGAGAGCACTAAGCAGCTGTTTTGTCGTAGTATGGGACCTAAAAATTCAATCGATAAACCTCCACAAACCTCCAGATAAAATCCCATATTAGATTTGTTTACTTGATGTATAACGAACATAGCGATACAGTATTATTTACTTCATGACATTTCGAGCATAAATTATTGCTCATAATCATATCAATGTCATCACACTACTTTCGGCATCTGATTTTTATAGTCTTGTCACCTGATATTCTTTGTTTTTATTGGCATTAAACTTTTCCATACCTCTGGTATAGGCGTTGTGTTATTCCTATTACACGTGTTGCGTGTTGATTCGATGAACAAAGATTCAGTGATCAATCTTTCTTTCCACCTAACTATATTGGACTTAAGTAGAGTGGTTTTATCCCACCGTATTGTGTGGTCGTGTGTTAATGCGTGCATTACAATAGCCGAGTTTTTTTTCCAGATTATTGATCTTATTCGGGTCTGTCATTGTATATTTAGCTAAATTCCTATGTTTGGCTATTCTAACTGACCCCGACCGGCTAGTTTGACTTATGTACTTGACCTCACAGTCATTGCATGGAATTTGATAGATTAGATCATTTTGCTCAATTGATTCTATCGGATTCTTGAGGTGAAAAAGCTTATTTGCGAGTGAGTTTGTAGGTTTAAATAGCCCGCTAATTCCAGCTTTGTTGAGGATCCTATGTAGAGTTTCTGATGTACCTTCCTTATAGGGCAACATCGGAGGCTGTGAACTCGTTATTATTCGTACTCATGTTATTGTTTCGTTTCTTATGTGTTCATAAGAGTTTCCTAATAAACTGTAGAGGATAATTATTAACTATCAGTGCTTTTTTATGCTTCAGTTCCTTGTTTAGGTCTTTGCACTGACTAGTCAGTTTTCTAGTTCTATCATTTAGACATTTGACTAGACCTGCCTTAAGTGACATTGGAACGTCATCTAGTAAATAATACCGCATAACTGTGTGTTCTAAACCAAATAAACAAATCTAATACGGAACTAAATTCTACCATAGTGGCCAAGTTACTTTCTTTCTCATAAATCTGTTCTGAATGAAGCCAAAAGAACATTAGTAGCAGAATTAGCATGCATGTACTTCGTGTATTTTCCTCAGTTGCTTTATAATCTATAGAATAAAATGTTTATAATTAAAGAAAAATAAGGTATACAACTTATTTTTTTAATAAAGAAGAATGTTTTGATGGAACTGGAAGATGTAGGCTAACTGGAATTGATGGGATTTGACGAAGTTGTTAAGTTTACACAAAGATAGAATGAGCATTTTAGAGAAGATGGCAAAAATAGAAGGGGTTTGTACACAATGTTATTCTAGAATTAGTTGGGAAAAAATGACATCATGATTAACTAAAGATAATAAGAGGTGGATAGATTCATATTATATTGCGTTAGTAAGATAGATAAATGCAATTTAGAAAGTGAAAGTTTGAAATAGATTTGAAGATAAAATAAAAAAGTAGAGGGTCATGAAATTTTGTAGTTACAAATTTGGAAGATTAAAATCACCAAGATAAAGCAAGCTTGGCAAATAATATCTTCCCGAATACATAGATCAGGTCAAAGTCGTTTAATTGAAACTCTTTCAACCAATTGATAAAGGTTGGATTTCAGTTGTTCATTGATCGCCTTAAACGATTTCGATACATCGACATTATGTCTAGTATCAAGTAAATACCAAGTTACTGAACTATTTCAACCCTTGGAATGTTTAAGATTCACATTCTTCGAAATATGTTCAGAAAAGCTAACAAGAACCCTCTTCTTAATTATCCAAATGTATGTGCTTTGGCGCGCAGATGTGAACTGCTTGATGTAGTAGGAGGTAATAAAAGTTGGGAACTTTTGCATTTTAGATGGATTTAGTGAGCATTCAGTCTGGTACACACATAAACCATTATGGCGGCTGGATAGATCTTTTTCATTGCAGTACTCAGTCTATGGTTCATCCGTTTAGCAATTTCATCCCCTTTTGAAGGTTGTTTTTTCATAAGCATTATACTCTGTAGGTTGTAGAATGGTTGAGGAGAATCCACGAACTACATACATACTACATCTGTTTTCTTTGATACCAGGCATTTATAATGCCTTTTTTCTGACCTCGTGGCTGTCAATCATTGTGGCCATTTCAACATGGCCATTCTTGTGAAGTTATGCATACCTATAGTTCAGTGTAGTACACAAACTTGTATCAGACTGATGAGTCCTAAAGTTTTGATATTTGTGATGTCCAGTTTTCAGTTGTCATCAATGACGTAGAATAGAATAATTGCGCTCTAACACTTTCTTTCCTTCTGCTTACTTATTATGGTTTACTCATTCTATGTTTTACATTTGTTTCACAGCTTCTTGGTGCGTGTGGTCACAGTTTGCCTTATAAGCATTCTAGCCTAACTGATAAAAACGATCATGATAAGATGCTGACACTTTATTCGTCGTCATCGAGCAGTCATCATCACCATCAAGATAATGATGATATTAATAATAATAATACGATGGATAGTAGCAGTGGAACAAAAGAATCACAAACCTACTCCGTACCATTTGCTGTATTAAAATCTTATGTTGGCAAATCAGAAGAATTATGGTGCTCAGTATATGAACAAATGCATAATGCTGATACAATGATAAATATCTCTGTTATTGAGTCGTTGGAAGTGATCTTTCGTCATACTCTACCAGCTTTAATGCTTCTTGGTAGGTTACTGAAATATGCGTATATATTGTATTGTTATTTGTTTTTTCAGCGCAAACAATTTAAGCGAAGAAATATTTCTTTTCAATCAGCTTCTCATCGACGGTTGTACACCAATATATAACATTTTCAGAACACGAAATAATACACCATTGTAGTAGTGATAATTATTATTATCATTATTTTCCCTTGGGTTCCTAGTAGAACATAGGGCTTCATTGCACTGTGTTCTCTGCAGTCTTTTGAACCTCTCTCCATGACTGCCCATAAGCTTTCATTCCTTCCTCACATGATCTCCATGTCACCTTCTCCTCGGACGCCCAACTCGTTTCCCCTTTGGATTCCACTCGAGGGCTTGGCGCGTGATGTCCCCAATCGGCCTTCTAAATGTATGCCCAAGTGGAGATAATGGGTTAACAATGTATTATTAACTTCAAAGTATCAAGGGCGTGAAGAACTAATCTGTGTAATTAAGACGGTAGCTGAGGTAGAGAATCGGTGCTCGGTAAAATGTGTGTCATGTCTAACAAGTTGTAACAGTTTGTATCCAAACGACTATCAAGAACATAAAATGAGTGATAATGTCGGCTGGTTAATTAACTAATTACATGGAAAAAAAAATTAGGAATAAAAAGGGAGAGGGAACAAGATCATCAAAATAGCAATAACGATAATAATGACCAAGTGACTGACAAAATCGACGTAGAACCCCGCACATAGGTGCATCGGTTCAAGTTGCCACACTTCACAGTAGCACACAAAGAACAAGTGGATATAAAAGGACCGATATCAAAGTGGGAAACGTTTTGTGACGGAATAAACAATTTGAAGACAAAAGTTAGTCCGCCAATGTGACCGATTTTCAACCACGTAACCAACAGTCCTCAACCACTGGTTACCTTCTTCTCAGGGACAATCAATCAATCATTATCAACATAGGACCAGGCATTACTGCGTAACGGTCCGAGTTGCCACACCTCATATCAGCACATCAAGTAAAAAGGTAGTGAGGTGAAGGATGAAGATAAGTGAATGCAGTCAAAAGAAATATAAAATATGAGAAGAAAGGAAAGAGGAGTGACAAAATAGTGAGATTCGGTATAGCGTTGTTAAGATGAGGATAATGTGTGTATACATCTGCGCCACTGACTTCGGTTCTGAGCCATATCACCTAGGGTCTCCAACCACTGGTTCCTCTTGTCCCGTGGACCCCAACCACCTAGTCTGCATCGTCCTACATGGCTTAAACCAACAGTCAGAGACTTCATACATTGGTGCCATGTTTTAGTCTGGCCACCTCGGGCCTTTTTCCAGCCTGAACCCACCTCAGCCAACATTGTGTGACGAGGCAATCGGTGACTAGGCATACGTAGTACGTGTCCCAACCATCTCAGTCGATGAAGGTTCACAACCTCGTCGACTGACTTACCTCTTCTCCCTAAAACTCTACACCTAACTTCTGCATTACTCACATGGTGACACCACGGAATACGTCCTATACTACGAAGGCAACGGTGGTCAAATACCTGTAACCTTCTCATGTCTTCCACTTTCAATGGCCATGTTTCACAGCCATACAGTAGAACAGAGCGGACTGCTGTGCAGTACACGCGACCCTTAATAGACAAACGAATATCACGGCGGCGCCATAGGTGGCGCAAATTGGCAAAAGCCAATCGAGCCTTTTGTATCCGTGCAGAAATCTCATCGGCAACTAACCCACCGGGTTGATCCTACTTCCCAGGTAAGTGAAGTGGTCAACACACTCAACCACTTCACTCTCTATTGTTAACCGCGGTACCGCTGAAGACCAGTCCTGGAGCAAAAATTTGCATTTGGGTGGTGAAAATCGCATCCCAAACATTCTCAAATTCCCACTCAAAGTGTTCAGAAGACTCTGCATCTTGTCAGCGTCTTCACCTAACAGGACTATGTCATCTGCATATTCTAGATCTAAGGAAAATTCACCTGTGATCCGGTCAACGTCTTTGTAATTAGGTGACGAGAGGGAAACCTCCATAAGAATATCTATGATAAAATTAAATAAGAATGGGGATAGTGGGCATCCTTGACGGACACCACTTGATGAGTATAGCTCCCTGGACAACTCACCATAGGCTCTAACATGCCCACAAGTGTTCGAGTAGAGAGCTTTCAATAAGGTGATGTACTTACTAGGCACGCCTTTCAGTGACAGACACTGCCATAAGACTTCTCGATCAACGGAGTCAAATGCCGCCTTCAGGTCGAGAAATACAGCTATTGTCGGGCGTCTGTAAGCATGCCTATGTTCCAGGACCTGGCGCAGTGTGAATATTTGGTCGATACATCCACGGCCAGGTCTAAAGCCTGCCTGGTTTTCTCGGGCTTGCTGTTCCCGAGCTCCACTCAGGCGTCGGAGAATTATAGAACTTAGGATCTTAGACACTATGTTTGTCAGGCTGATTCCTCTGTGGTTATCACAAGAGGACTTCTCGCCTTTCTTGAAGACTGGGATGATGAGTGACTTAGACCAGTCGGAGGGGATCGTATTTGATTCCCATATACTGGCTAACACTTCCGTTAGCCTGACTAAGAGAACTCTACCACCATTCTTGTATACCTCAGCAGGTAGTCCGTCTGGTCCTGCTGCCCTTCCCGTTTCAGGCTACCTACCGCTTTCTCAACTTCTTCTAGTGTTGGGGGACCTGTCTCTATGTCCCATTCAGGGTCCGACTGGATAGCGGGCAGCGCAATGGTGGCTGGAGGCCAGTTAAACTGTTCCTCAAAGTGTTCTGCCCATCGTCCCAGTCGCCTTCCCTGCGAGTGAATCGCCGATCCGTCCTTCTCCGCTATAACCTCACTAACTGTTGTTGACCATTTCCCCCCAGTCTCCTTAATAAGTCTAAATAACTGTCTACTGTTACCGATCGCCGCTGCCTTTTCCATCTCTTTAGCCTTTGCTGCCCACCACTGTTCACGATCGTTGCGCAGACTTTTCGTCAGTTTATTTTTAAGTTGCGCTCGCTCTTCATTGTACTCAGAGCCTGCAGGGATGCATTCACGTGCATCCATTAGTTTGGAAGAAGCTGCTGATATCCACTGGCTCTTTTTAGCCATTATCTTGGAGTCGGCTACAGTCTCCAGTGCTGCTTTTACAGTAGACTGAAGATGGCACCAAGCTTCTTCTGGATGAGTGACAGTCTTTTGTTCCGATAACTGCCTAGCCAACTTCTCACTGAACACGGCTTTGGTGTTTTCGTTGTCCAGCAGAACTCGTAGTGGTTTTGTTGCCAAATTTTTTCTACGTCCATTGAGACGCAGGCATATACGTGCTCGGACCAACGCATGATCGCTGTCCAAACACGTACTCCAGAAGGAGCGGCAGTCTTCCACCGATCCTCTCCAGCGATGACTAATAGCAATGTGGTCTATCTGTGTCCATCGCTGAGTCGAGCTCGGTGGACGCCAGGTCAGACAGTGCCTTTCTTTATGTCTGAAATTTGTGCTGGCTAAAAATAGGCGGTTATCTGAGCATAGTTGTAATAGGCGATCACCGTTATCTGTACGTTCAGCTGGGATTCCGAAAGTGCCACCTAAGTGCCTTTCTGCCTCACTCAGTCTACCCACCTGTGCGTTGAGGTCACCTGCAACAACCACTACGTCCGAACGTTTGGCTTTCGAGAGGAGGTTAGACAGTTTATGGTAGAACTCGTCCTTCACTTCATCCGAACTACAGTCAGTGGGTGCGTAAGCAGAGATTACAAAGAGACAACGGCGAGTCTCACTATTCCTTTTAGTTCTCACTGTGCCGTTCAGCCTCATAGCGCAGAGGCGACTATCAACTGGGATCCAGTCTAGTAGTGAGTTTTCTGCCCTGGTGCTTAATGCTATACCTACACCTGCAAGACCACGAGAGCTAGCTATCGAATCTCCAGAAACTCGAAGGGTGAATTTTGCAGATTCACCAGATTGGTCAGGAGAGGTCAGGTGAATAACCACACTTGGGTCCTGTATGCGTGTCTCACAAACACAGCACACATCCATGCCCGAGTTGCTAGAGTCTTTGCCAACGAAGCCTGTTGGCCAATTTGACGGAGGGTGCGGACATTGAAGGCTCCAATATGTAATTTGGAGCGTGGTTTAAGGAGACCAGGGATGCTGTTCTGTGGACTCAGATCGTTGTCGAAGGCTGCAGAGGTAGGAGAAATTGAAGATGATGCAGCATCATTAATTAAGAGACGTGAAGGAAGATTAGAAGGTAATGATGGAGGAGGAGGATAGCAGTCAGAAGAAACTTGGGTGCTGACAGAGTTGTGAGGGCGGTTGACACTTCCCGGCTGCCCACACCGTGGAAGGCTATTTCTTCTTAAGGTACCTGAAAGAGATTTGTGTGACCGCAGAGCCCATCGGACATCTGCTTGAGGCCTGTCACACCCAGCCTTTTGAGTATGATTATTTTGAATTTTTGTATTTTTGGGGCCGGATAGTCGAAAGGAAACGACAAGTGAACCAACACCGCCGGCCCGGCAGACCGTGGGGCGTGGTGGAGTGTGTTATTTTTGGGGCCGACCTTTTCTAACCCCCCCTTCCACTGAGAAGGCAGCATCAGCTTGGCACTGCTGGTCATCCAAGGGAAACACCTTACTGCTGTCACACCCCATCCAGCTAGCAGCAGTACGACTTCGCCCTCAGACCCCCATCATAGTGTAGCAATTTACACTATAACGGTAACTGCTTTTCGTCTAACCACTACCCAACAGACCTTTCTGGTATGGTAGGACCTCGAGGGAACAAGCGTTCCACCAGCATAGCTCGTTGGGTCATTGTGATATGCAAGCCCGACCACCACGTCAAGGTAGCAGCTATCGGTCGGGCCCCAACCAGACAGTCTACACCTCCACACACACCTCAGACCAACAGTCAGAGACTGATGCCATGTCTTGACCTGGCCACCTTGAACCCTCTTCCAACCTAATCTAACTCCTCCTAGCATGACACGTCGAGGTAGGTGGTGGCTCGGCATGCAATCGTAATCATTTGAGAGATAAATGAGAAAAATGATCATCTTTGCATAAATAAGCTTTACAGATAGCCTAGACAAAGAAGGAAGCTTTACAAATTTCTTTTGAACATAAGCTCGGATTGTTCAGGTGGATTCCAATGGCTTCAACTGTGCATAAAAGACGGACTCGTAAAGCATGGGTGAGATTAAAGGATAAATAACTTTAAAGACATTAATAATATCACTTCGGTAACCCGTGTCAACCAGATGAGAGGGTATTGAACTCCGTATTGATTTTGTCTGCCCTCTCCTTAACAATGATGGATGATGTTCGGCAATTCAACAACCCAATCTTCTAACTGTACGCCCAATGTAACTGATTTCATGGAATCAATTAGTCCGGTAAATGCACATAGAGATGGCGAAGTTGGGTGGCCTATTTTCCTTTATGAAGTCAGCATTGATCGATCGTAGAATACACAGCATAGCTTTGGTGCATTAAGTATTCCTCCAGTGATTCCGCTGACGGTTTATCACCCCGAAGTTTCAGTCCTAACTGATTTCTTGGAAGCGGTTGGCATGTTCATGTGTTTAGCTAGGAACTTTGCTGGATATCTCGTACTACTGAGTAGACATGGCTAATTTGGAGTTCTCCATCTTAAGAATCATCTGATTTCATTAATTAATTACAAAAGGACGAAACTCAGAAATAAGTATACCGACCAAATGATGTTTGTTTCCGATATACACCCACTTTTTACTTGTAAATAGAGTAATTTAGGAAGATGATGCCATCATTTCTTTCTCTCCTAATGGTGAATACAGTCACTAGACAGTTGCTACGAAACTTACTCAACACACTCCACGCTTCATTCTCGTTCTTCACAATTAAGAATTTATCGTCCAGATAACGGCAGTAGAATTCGAACTTGCTTGTGCTGCTTACCAAAGGGTCATTTTCTAATTTCACTAAGAAAATATCTACGTTTGATTAAAGCTAGTGGTGTGATCCTATAGCAGTACCATCTGACTGTTTGTAGAACTCCTTATTTGCGAGGAAGTGTACATTCACTGTACATCTTAAGAGAAGCTCTTTCAAGGTAGATGTTTGAATTACCTTGTTTAACCATCACCCCTTAATACTTTGAGATAAATAATCTGTTTTGTAACCAATCATCACGTCTAGACTGATGTTATTTTACATTTTGAAAATGCTATGTAATAGTATAGACCGGCTGGTGGGTAGTTAATTAAAAAGAAACATTTTTCCGAGGTGGTATTCATGACGGACTGACATCAGTTGGAGAACCATTGAAAACCTGGGAGCACTGGACAGCAGTTTCGTCCTAGTATGGGACTCCTCGTCAGTACGCACTCACGACTTGGCTAGAGATAGAATTCAGAACCTTCAGGTTTCACGGCGAATCCGTTAACCACTCAGTCATCTAGTCGGTTTCTAGTAGTTCATACTTTCCTACTTCTGTCAATTCACAATATAGCGCGACCCTCACCCAAGGTATTCAGTTGGCATCCGCCTCCATTCCGACTGGTTGATCCCATGGGTCACGGCTTCTCATTAGAACCTGAAGGTCCTGGGTTCGATCCCTAGCCAGTTCGTGGGTGCGTACTACCGAGGAGTCCCATATTAGGACGAAACAGCTGTCCAGTGCTCCCAGATTGTACAAAATCTGGTAGTATCATTAGCCGTCACACAATAGGTGTGGCTCATCACTTTTGATTTTCTTCTATTTCAGAACATTTAGTTCCAGATGTGTATACGCATTGTTCATTCACTGATGAATTGCCAGCAATGGAGAAACCAGTTTGTCCACATTGCTCTTCTTGTGATATAGTCAAAAATCCACTGGATCATCGTTGCCTCAGTGATACTTTGTTTATGGTTAGCTGCTTATTTTCTGCTGCATTTATTTCTTATGCTGAAGCTCTTCAAAGAATAAATCATCCAACAAATTTAAGTCATCATCAAGCAATGAATAACCTGAAAACCACTTCTGCTGACATGTTTATCTTGCAATCGGCCTGTGAACAAAGCAAAAATCTAATCGAAATCTACCTTCATGCTGCTTTAATGGGACCGATTAAACTATCATCTAAAGAATCAAGCAATCAAGAAGTGAGTGTTTCGGTACTATGGTATTTTTTTTCGTTTATTTTATAGTGTAAGCTGATGATGCCACAGAACTGGTCTGCACCGACTACTAGTTCAAGGACGAAATGTCAGCTCGAATGAAAAGGGTTTGTTTGGCACCAGCTAGTTTACGCCAGCTCTGGCAGCGGTGAGATATCCGACTGCGTATTAAAAGATGTGTACATTGTTCTGCAGTCGACCCTATCTCGTCATACAGCAATAAGATATGGATCTTGAAAAAAGAAGACATGAAGAGATTGCAGGTATTTTCATAGCATCGCTTACCTGCGGTGGAAGCATCATGTGATCAATGTCAAAGTTAGGTGAAGCGTACTAGGTAATGCGAGCAAATAAGTTCATTAGGTTGTTAACCTTTGCAGGCTAAGATAACTGGAATATGTGTTGTAAGTACCGAGCCACCGCCTACCTCTGTGTGCAATTTTAGCCGAAACAAGATTATTTTGGAAAAAGACTAAGCGATGGCCCGACCATGACATGGCATGATTCCATGCAGTATTTGACTACTGGTGTGAACCATGTAAGAGACAATGTAGACTGCTTGGCTGGCATCCTTAAGACAAGAATCAGTGGTTGCAGATTCTTGGTGATATGGCTGAAAATCAGTAGCAATGGAACAGATGTATTCACTATTTGTTGTTTTTGAAGGTTTAAACACTTTTATTAACCTGGATCAATTTTTTTCTCTCCTTTTATCCACTTATCTACCTTAATATCACTTTGTTACGACGCGGAGTAGTGCGAACGCACAATAATAATTGATGATTGACAGTCGAAGGTTGAGGTGATTCAACCTGAGTAACTCACAAAGAGAAATCAAAAGACTGGTATTCAATTTAGTTTATAGTATGTCGAACTGAAAACTTTTATTAGTGAAAGCGTGCCTTGTTTATGGTTTACAATAACCTTGAAAAACAAGAGATAACTAGTACACTTAAAGGACCAGGAGCCAGTTAGAACGCTAGCGAGTTATATGAAATGTGATCCATGTGCGGAAAAAAGAGCGCAAAGAAAAGAGTCCTAATATATACAAACTGTAAGTTTGGAATATAAGGAGTATATGCATCCTTAACACACTTTTTGTATCCACTTCTCGTTTGTATGGTGCTGCGAGGTGAGGTTAATTTAACCAATTCACTTCTGTGCGAGATTCTTTGATCCGTCCACCTACGCTACTTTATGCTTTATATTTACTTTATTCTTACTATGAAGAGCTACCGAAGAGTATATGTCATTGGCACATTTTGCGTGACATCTAATGCCGAATCCACTGAAGCTTATGATTGTCAATCACTAATCAGTCAGTTAGATACCTTATTAACTAAGATCCAAGATGTTACCTAGGGTACGGCATAGTGACCGGTCGATGTACATAAATTCACTGTTCAAGGAGCCAATTGTATTCTGAATAAAGCAACGATAACGTATCTCATTGATTTAAATCTTTGATTCAAACCTTCATGGAAATGTTTTTTGTAAGCGTCTGATGAACCTATCCAGTATGCACCAAATTTCAAAATTAAATAATCACATTCCCACTTCTAAACAAACAAAAAACAGCTTTTGTAATTTAAGACAATTAATTCGCGTCATAAACTTTGACTTAAAAAACGGGAAGAAGCAAATTGTCTGGACCGTGTAATATATTTGCGCAACATATTTCTCACAGTGTTAGGTGAACTAACTATGTAGCTAAGGTCCGATTAATAGAAACCGCCAAGCCTGTATAGTGTCCTAAACCCTTACAGCACCTGAACGAATTTCACACTCTACTGCATCTACCAATTCAAGTGTACTTGTGGTGATACATACATATGGAGGACTCCAGTTCACACAATTGATTGCCTCAAAGCAATTTTTCAAAGTGGCTTTAATTCAACCTTCCCACTTGACCTGTTTTCATATTCTCCCCCCTTATCCTTTTGTAAATATTCATATAAATGCCTATGACAAGTACGTGTGTCATTAGATTGTTCAAAATGTGTTATGCAAGTACATTGCACAGTTCAGACAATTTTCCGTCTTCTTATTGCTTTGTCGAAATTTTTGTAATATGGAACGTTGGATGCTAACGCATATATATCGATATATCTGACTATGCTACTTATTTTTTGTGAATAGTTAACTGTATAAAGTAGACATTTACTGTTGAATGTGGGCTTTTTTATACATATTGAATAATGAACTTTCATATGAAAGTTTAAAGTTCTTTTCGGAGTAGAAGGATAACTTTAACAGAAATTGTTGTGAAATACTAAAAAGATAAACGTTTGTCCACTGTTATAGCCATTGTCGATTAGGTGTGATTATATGGAGGGAGCTAGCGTCAGCTTTTCTTCCTGTTTTCACCAACTGAATAAGTAGGTGCTCCTTAGCACATTGTAACAACCACCTTATAGTGTGTCCGAGATTACTTAGTGTACACATTGGTGTAGGTATGAGAGGGATTCTAACTATCAATATATGCATCTAGTCGGATAAGTCAGGCTTAGAATTGACTTCGTAAATATCTTTTTCACAGACTATTGTAGTCGATTAATGAGGAGTTCCCTCACATTATCACCTTTAATTAATGGACTGTTGATTCTTCTTCCCATATTCTATTTAATGAAATCTAGATTTCTATTTTCTTGAAATGCCCTTTTGCACGTATTCTCCTCGTTCCATCCATCAAAAAGTTAATAAAATTTATTTTCTGCTACAGAGAAATATAATTGCGAAAATGTGTATATTGTTGTCTCTTAAAGTAGTTTTCTGTTTACCCTTTTTAATAATTACTGCTTGATCGAAATTAGTTCCTAATTAGATTGCATCTATTATGAAGCAAACTGTGGATATGTCCTAATTTCAACATAGTAAATGTGTAATCTACGTAACACCACCATACTTCTGGGTTGGGCTGAAATGTCCCCAATACTATTTGTTCCGAGTCACTCATAAATTCATTTGCTACAACCGGGGGTATTAGAGATCCCATCGTTACTCCTGTTTCTTGATTATAGTTGGTCTTGAAATCTGAATACTGTCTAAGTTAGACATAGCTGCACGCGAAATATGGTCTCTTCAATCAAAGTTCGAGTTCTGTTATTGAGTTCATGGCAATTGCTTAATGTGTCATATTGATTAATTTTCTAATATGGAGGGGAGGGTCGTCATACCAAAATTGACCATTTTTTTAATCCTCCTCTATTTGTAAACTGTTTAGTCTCTAAATTACTTGGTTATGGCTAGCAGAGGAATACAAGACACACATTCCGTTCTGCTTGAGACTCGTCAGCTGGATTATACCCAGCCAAAATTATTCGCAAGGGAGCCAATATACCAACAGAGGTCGACCAATTCGATCCAGTATAACAACGGAGAATTACAAATATATCAAAAAACAGTAATATCTCTTTCTTTCATACTAAAGGAATTGGTTAACCTAGACTATTGCCTATCAAACATAACACTGTGGTTAAATATTCAGATCACTCATATACCTGTATGTTTCTAAAGCCAACTATTGGCCTGCCTAGTCAAACGGCCTAGTTTATGAATCTTTTAAATATCATACATTCTACTGGGATTATTAGTTTTAGGGATTAAATTAAACCACCTAGACTCATCCTGAGATATCTTCATTTGGTGTACTAGATTAGAACTGTGTCTACAGGTTTCCTAATCTCCTCAGTTGGTCTTGTTTGAATATTTTCCCTAACTTTCTTTAAGTATTCTGCCTTATTATCCGTAACTACTGTTGAATTGCCTTCATCAGACTTGGCAATTGTCATACTACTGCAACTTTAAATTTCGCCTCACCTTTTCATGTTGTGTTTAGGGTTAGTGTACATTGTGTATACGCTCTGATCACCAGTCGTCTTATCTATTAAACTTTGTGCTACTTCTATGCCCGGCTATTACGTCTTCGAGTTTGATTTGATCTACGTTTAATCTACGTTTTAATCCTTTTTCGAGAATTTTTATATCGTCAGTCAAGCTCAATTCTTCTGTTGAGAGGCTGTTCACCCACTCTTTTCATTTACTGGCTGTTCAATTCAGTTACTGTTTCATCATTTTCACTAAACTCGATTACACTTTATTGAAAAGTGTTTTTCATTATCTTTTCTGATTAAATTTCTCTTTTTCTCTTCACATTCAGATAACAAATGATTGTTCTACTGTTATGACAAGATATGAGAATTGGTTCAAAGTTTTAATTTTAGCAGCATGTTGTTTACAGCGCATATTCCGACAATCAACACTTGTTCATCATCGCTGTTACAATAAATCAACAAACCAGTTGATGAAACGATTGAACAAGTCTCCATTTTATGATCTAAAATTATATATGACTAAAGTAAAGATTACTAATGATTGGTGGCCAGTTTTAATGAATATGCTTGTCTGCGGTCTACGTGGTATGTGGTTGGAGTGCATCAGTTCAAATCATCAGGTAAGTAGACAGTCGTATATATAACCAATAAACTGTAAAACATGTACATGTGCTGGAGTCCTCTTAGGATAATTCTTAGCTATATTCCAATTTCTTCCCCTCTATAGGTAAAGAAAAAGAGTATAATATCCTACGCCAGAATGTATTAGATTAAAGTGCCAATGCTGTCTGGTTCACGGGCTCGAACCCCACTCCACCTACGGAGGTCTGGGTAACCAGGTAGTACCACTAGCCTTCACACAATGTGTATGGCTCATTGCTTACTACACGAATGTGCACAAGGTGACTGAGTGCGTTTCGTTCCGTCTGGTTGGCATTCGATTATGATCACACTACGTTAGGAATTGAGAAACCTGAACCATTGTATTTCAATTCAATGTCTGAGTGACAAGCTGCTTGTCAAGAGACCTAATCTTTTGGGGTGCAGCTGCGCTTAGGGTTTTGGGTTCACACTGTAGCGAGCTAGTCCCAAAATAACCGGAAACTGCTCTCCACCTATTTTTTTTAGTCGATGTCGATCTGTAACGAAGGTTACTTTGAGACCGTTGTATGGTCTATTTGTCTATAAGATGGAGCGACAAATAACTGAATAGGGAATATCTGGGGGGAACCGTATCGTTTCAGTCAATAAACAAACCACTCAACGATATATATATATATATATATATATATATATATATATATATATATATATATACGAGACGGAGTACAGTTAGCTGCCTCTTAGCAATTACCAATTAACATTCCGAGTATCTGAGATAGCCATGGTTTAGCAGACTAGTATTGACACTTGGTGAGAAGTACTGACTAGGCAGCCAGTGTAAGTACGATCAAGCGGTGGTAGTAACGCACGAATTCACATGATAGTCAGGTCAAACCCTTAGTGACTAAAGTGAAATGAAAATCTGGTCAGCAGTCGGATCTCTTTGCTCTGTTGGTGGAGTACCGGGTGGTTCGAATCCCAGCGCGGCCTAAATTCTCACTTCACCTTCAGTCATCACCCAGTATTAATCACGAATTAATCAGCAGAAAGAATGACTCTAGTAACTATCTTCAACGCCAGCCTCAACTGCATCATCAGCAAGAACAACACAATCTGGATTGATTTGGTTTATTTTTATTATCATTATCGTCACCACCATCATTACTACCATTCATTTCCACCCGTGATTAATAAAAAGTTCGTTAAAACTATTCATCCCCGTATACTAACCAAAATGACACATATTCACCTTACGTACCCCATTGTACTTATCAAAATCACCGGATGACTACGATGCCACCTGTGACCTTTTTGTCTGGTGTTTACTGTCAAGGTGAGTAGGAATAACAACATACACACACCATACAACAAGAGACATACAGTTTGACACTGAATGGTTAGTGATCACATTTTAGAAAAAAACAATGATTACTTGAAGAGGATTGCAGAAAGAGATTAAGTGCACTTCTTTGGATTTATTTATATATTCAGGTAGTATTCATCACGGACTGATATCAGTTGGAGAATAATTGAAAACCTGAGAGGAGCACTGGACGACTGTTTCGTCCTAGTATGGGACTCCTCAACACTTTTCATCCACAACCCAGCTAGGGATAGAATTCAAAACCTTTAAGTTTTACAGCTAGTGCGTTTACCATTGAACCACTGGGTTAGAGTTCAATGTCCTACACCTTACTACTTCTGTCAATTCACGATATAGTGCGACTTCCGACTGTTTGACCTCACATATCACCGTTTTTCATTAGAACTAAAATCCCCATTTAACCTCGGAATACACTGCTGTATAGTGCTTAATACTAACGTGCTCGGAGATGAATATCTCGAAGTTCTAATGAGAAACAGTGACCTGTGAGGTCAACTAGTCGGAAGCGAAGCGGATACCAGCTGAAGACCTTGAAATGACAGACATAGGGCTTTGGTTGTCAATTTTTCTTGGCATAACCTGAAATTTTTTTGTAGAACTTTGGTCCCGTCAAAGTCAGTTTTGTGGGAAGTGATATTAGGCTATACGTTAAGAGAAATATGCATGAACAATAACGAAATAGGTGTTAACTTAAAAAGTATCTATTATTCGGAGAAGGATAAAGGCCAGGTATCGAAGTAGTCTGCTTTATGATACACAGACGAAGTAGTAATACTTGCTGCTAATCAGCACTTATCAATCAAGTGAATGTGTTTTAAACCACAAAGTTGAGTGGATCAATTCCACAGTTTTCTGTTTACCAGTAGTGTAGTAGTGTGTTTGAAGGTATTTGGCATTTCAGTGTATGTTTTGTTTTATCATGTGACTTTCGAATCACCATTATCTTTTTTCTGCCAACTCCAAATGTAACCGCTAGCTTTATTCTAGGGATGTGTGAAAATATGACGTAATGGGTAGACTTCCACTCGTTTTAATTCACATCGTCGTCTTATAAGGTGATCATTAATCATTCGAGATATACAGGTGGCTTTTAGATAGAGTGCTCTTCTGAGCTTACTTGGGTTGATTAAAGTTTTTGTTGTAATGTATTGATGTGATGTGTTTTACCATTTGTTTGTGTTTTGGTGCGTCATCAGTTATGTGTACTGATTGAAACTACTAACCAGTCAGTAGTTATGTTGGTTTTTTGGAGAAATGAGGTGAAAATTACCACGGGAAAGCTTAAGATAATCATAAATTGTTTTTGAATGCACAAAGGGAGGTTGAACTTTCGTATACGGTCTTGGCGGCTCCCATACAAATGGTCTAAAGGCTGGTTTGGAGTTAGTCCTATGACCTGTTTCTATAATGTGTTTATCTATAGGCTCTGATGTCTGTCTACCCTCTATAATTATTGGATTATTTGAATGTAGTTGTTTTTCTAGCCATTTAAGGATATGCTCCACCACCTCGGACATCATAGTTCAGTTACTCCTCCCAATGTATTTGTCACCTTTACGCACATACAAATTGGTATACACAGTGGGATGTGACTCAATCATCTATGTAGTGATGAGGTTTATTTTGAGGCATAGGTCTCATTTTCTCTTTAATAGTGAACTTGGCTGCATAGTATGTCTTTTCAATAACTAAATAAGCCTTCGTCTAATGACTGACTGACAAAATCAACGTAGAACCTCACACACAAGTACTTCAGCCCAAGTCACCACACTTCACAGTAATATACAAAGAACAAGGAGCTAGAAAAGAAGTGGTATCAAAGTAGGTAAAGTAGTGTAAGAGAATAAACAACGTCAACGAGTGTATACATCTTCTAGAGCTTCAATATTCGCACTAACCTTTATCTTCAGATTGTTTACTATTTCTCACCTTTCCTGGTCACCTGTTCTTTGCTTTTGATTCACGTTTATACGGTAGCGTGATATAAACATTCTTACCTTTGAGATGTCTTTATAATCACTGATTAACTTCAGTAGATATGCGTTTTTCATGAGTGTTTCTGTTAAGAATTTGATTTCTTCTTCTTAAACCTACCTTGACATTTACTATTTATTGATATACTTGTAATTATCTGTTGTCTTATTCCGTGTCTCTGAGTCTCAATGGGAACAGTATCACTCACTGAGGTGCAAGTACATCTAGCTGACGAGTCCCAAATAGGACGAAACGTGCCTCTTGGATTCCTCCGCTAGCCACAACCAAGCAAATTACTATCTTTGACAATCTTTATCTTATTTTAATACCTTTATTCACAACTGACTGGATTACAAATTCTCTGTCATATTATTATGTTCTTCATATACTGTCCTAAACTCTTCTTCCACTTTACTTAACTTTCCAGTTTTAAACTAGATGACCACTAGAGAAAACTTTATGTATTGACTTACTTCAAATTCCATAGTAACTGATTTCAAATGGAGAAACAGACAGACTGCCATTTTGCATTAAATGTTCAAGTGTGATGATTTAACAGCATGATTTGAGAAATGTCATCTGTGGTTTCGATATCTGAATCAAGATTTTATTGAATTTGGAGGTTTTTTTCCAAGTTAGTATTCATCATGAACTGACATCTGTTGGAGAAACATTGGAAATTTGGGGAGCACTGAACAGTTGTTTCGTCCTAGTATGGGATTCCACAGCAGTGCTCACTAAAACCCCACAAACCTCCAAATCCACCAGTGACTAGCTTTGAGAGATGATTCCTGAAGTTATAATGAGAAGTCGTTACCAGTGGGGCAAACCTGGTGGCCGTGAACACAAATACTCAACGATGATATTGGCTGATGGTCGCACTATGTCATGAAATGACAGGAGTAGGAAATATGGACCATTGGATTCCCAACCAGTGGCTCAGTGGCAACTTGCTGATCATGGGACCTGAAGGTCCTGTGTTCGATCAGTGGGAAGGTGGGATTATGGGTGCGCACTGCTGACGAGTGAGTCCCATACTAAGATGAAACAGCTGTCCAGTGCTGTCAGGTTCCCAATGTTCTTCCAACTGATGTCAGTAGATGATAAATACTAACAAGATTTTATTGACAATTTTCTAGTTACTCAATCGTGTGTCTGTTTTTACTTTCATTACACAACGGACATACTCAACTACTTCACTCTATGAAATGAGATTAATTTTGAATTCATAATATGTGTGTGTGTGCAACCCAAAATCTTTTTGAAATCCAAGTCCGCATTTGCATATGTCCTAGTTACAGACTAACTTGTAGCAATCAGAAAATAGTTTCCTCATTGTTCTTTGCTCAACAGGACTTTGACCAAATGACCAACTTAATCTATGATAAGTCGTCATCACAGCTAAAGATAATAATGACAAGTCAGTATGCCTAGATCTATACTAAAAGTAAGCATAATCGATCGCCAAGCACCAGTATATAAGCATGAATTCCAGCAAGTGACTTATATTATCCATTCATCTTATGAGAATTTACAAGATAATGTACATAAAATGCATCATTTCGTATTCAGGAATATAAATAGCAATAAATATAGCGTTTAAGGAGGATATTTGAACTTCATTTCTTAGGCAACACTTTTCACTTACACTTAAGGGGC